CCAAAATTTGGATGATTTTGAATATTCACTTGAAAAGTTATCAAAGAAAAACATTTTTCATTTTGTAACTTCGAGGGCCCGTTACTTGGTAACGAAGGATTTTAGGAAAAAAAGTTATATGAAGTACTGGTGATATTTTGACCCCATCTATACATTCCCGAGAGGAAAAGAGGAAGTCCAGGGACACCCTGTATATGACCTACAGGTCGGTTTTGAGGTATTTTCCATCATCAGTGCAGGAAATATTCAATCTGAACAGCAGTGTGCCCCTCGTTGGGCGCCATATTCTCATTGTCGTGAACCAAAAGTGACTTCCAAGACCCCGCGATAACTGATGGCTACACCCAGAAGTTCTCTTTGTTCCGGAGTTCAAAGATTCGTTTTCAGCCGCAGTGTTCAGATGCAATCATTGATTTATCAGAATTTATCGTCCATATACTGGTAGGCGCCCTGAGAGGCAAATTCTGTTAAAAAAAGACAGCTTTCGCCGGGCTCTTGGTAACGCAGCCACATGTCACCGCTGTCCAAATGTCCTGGGAACCCCCTGCCTCGCAGCAGGTAGTTTTGGAAGCAGGAGGGACAGGTAGAAATCGTTTTAATTTGTTGGAACAAATCAAATTTTTCTCAAGGAATTTCGGTGTTCTTTCGAACGGTCCATGTGATGCAATGAATTCTTTGTATCAATATTTGGTTATCCTCTGTACAACCACTTGAAATGTCAATTTGTTCTGGAAACAAACAACTTATTTTTCCAATGAAGAACAGCCGTTTCATGCATATTTAATAACGACAAGCTATAAACTGCAATTTGCGATGGCAAATATGTTACACGCTTGAATAACAAGTTTTCCTGTTGCAAAATATGTAACAAATTTTACTATGCCAACAAAATGTAGTGTTTCTCTTGGAACACCAAATAAACTCCCACTGACTGTCACTGGAGTAAATTTTGAAGCGAGTACTAATGATGAAAGTGATATCTCTGATCCGAAGATGGAAAAATGAGTTATTATTTTGTCAAGTAATAACAGAAGAGTTATACTTACTGTTGTCTAGGTCTGCCCAGGGATCAAATTCTTTTATCAGCAGTTTCTCTGGATCTAAACTAGCAAAAGCATAAACCACGTGAGTGCAAAGGCGCTGATCTATACGCTCCGGTACGAATTTTCCTTCTCCTTTTCTATAGAAAGCCCAGTTGGTGACGTAACAAACAACCTACAAAACAACGGTACAGACTACAACACCGATAATATCTACTAAGCTTACTTTGGGCTTGTTGTCTTTGATGGCCTCCTTCTTCATCAGGAAATTCACATCCTTCAATGTGCTGGGGATGTGGACTGTTTCTCCAGGTCGGCAGTTTTGCGGATTAACTTGATCGCATTTCCCATTCAACGGGTTGAACATGAGACTGTTCCCGCAGGAGAGATGGTAAGTCAGACCGTTTTTACAAATGTAGTAAGCTGCGCAGTTTTTTGAGTCGCTGTAGTAGCCTGTAGAGTCGCAAACTCCGATGGGTTTGGTTGGATGTGTCTGTTCCTCATTGATTGGATTGACACCTGTTACAATCAATGATGATTTATCAACGAGGACTGTGAAAGACTGTTCAATTAAGGAAATGTTTGGTTACTTGATGTGTTACCTTTGAGTTCTCTGTTAACCACTGTCAGCAATGGCCATTTTTCCCCACAAAGGCCTCTAAAGTCATCCATATCAGCGGCTGCGACAGATATACCACCAAGTCCGTTTACTTTGGCGTAGTCAACCTAAAAGCAATAAATGGGTCAATTTCCGAAAGATTCATTCATGTTTCTTAAAGTTGCTATTGCTGCAGTTTTCACAGATGGATTAGTCGAGAGTCAGTTAGTTTTTTTTATCAATAAATGACTTTGAAGGAAAACATCTGGAAGAGGAACATATCTGCTGCCTGTAGACTCCAATTACCAGTAGAATAAACGTCACTGATGACGTTCTGATGAATCATAACTCACCTTTCTTTTGATACTCTCAGCATCATCGTATCCCACCCACTGATCCCCGTTGATGATGATGGGGGATCCTGAAGAATCCTGGCTTCTGAACCATCCTTCGTTCAGGATCATGTCGCAGATTTCGAAATAGGCCAACAGTCCTGGTGATTGGGTGTAAAAACCTTCGCGACCAGGGCCTTTGATACCGGCGCCGATGTCCGTTTCATTGGAATACTGGAGGGTGAAAGATCTTCCGAAGAAGGGGATGCCCAGCACCAGTTTCGTCCTTGGTAGTCCCTTCCTCAGCCAGTATTGTACGGAATAGTCCTGTGAAAATGATACAACGTACAAATTACCCCGAGGAAGAAAGACAAATACTCTCAAGTTTGGTCTGCAGTTGATCCAGAGATTCCACTATTTTGGATAGTAAATGTGAGAACCTCGAGAGATCCAGACATCTCCATTTTTCAAAATACTCACCACGCTCAAAAATATATTGAGTCCAGTGTCTTCCGGTCTGGCATACAGATTGGTATGGTGGTCTGCGACGGGTTCTCTATCTGTATGAAAATCGTAGGCTTGCACACTTACGAAGTCAACAAATTCCCCCACCTTGGACGGTTCGAAACCGTCTTCGATTCTGAACCTCGAAGCGGGCGCGGAAAGAGCCAGCAACCACCCTTTCTGCTTGAACACCTCGGAAACCTCTTCTATGAACGCTGTGAAGAACTCTTTATCGCTCACTTGGCCACCCAATTCTTCCGCTCCAGGGTATTGCCAGTTGAGCTCCATACCGTCAAAGCCATACTGCTCCAAGAAGATGATGGCTGACTGGATGAAGTTTCTCCTCTTTCGGGCATTTGACACCATGGTGCTGAAGCGGTGGGAGCCGCCTCCTCTGCTACCTCCGAGGGAAATGAGAACCTTGAGGTCGGCGTTCTTCTGCTTCAGGGTTGTTAGTGCTCGATATCCTCCTGGAAAATGAAGGGTGTGGTGGTAGTGCAAAAATGGTAGATACAACTTCCATTAAAGACAATTCGTGGGTGTGAATGAGAGACTGATTTTTTGTCTTCATGTTCGCTTGGGCCATAAAGAGTATTATTACTTAGTTGTAATCAAGCTAAAACCCAATAATGAAGTAGTACGAGAAAAGATCAAACTCACCTTGCACAATATCGTAAGCTTCATCGTTGGAAACCATTTCGAAAGTGATGGGATCAATGGTGGCGTAGGAATAAATAACGTGAGTGCAGATAAAGGGATCTATATCGTCTGCATTGAAAGTCAAAGGGTCCTTTCTGTAAGCTGCCATACCTTGCACGTAGCATACTACCTTCTTAGCGTCTTCTTCAGCGCTCTTCTCTGCAAATCAATGGATCAATTAGAGGTCTTTTCCAAGTACTTACAATGATGGTGTATTGAATTACGTTGTTGAACTCCTTAGAAAACGAGCATGTGATCAAAGTTAGCCAAATAAGTCCAGGGTCTCAAAGTTATATGTGAAAGGTAATCCATTACTTTGCTGAAAGCTTGACACACACTGGATTTTCCACAATGTAGTGAGCAATGCAGAGGTATAGCTTAGAAAGCAAGTCTTACATGACTGCAGGATACTAACTATCCCTCTCTTTGATAACTTGTAGTCATCCAGGCTAGAAAGTGCAACTCTGAAATGTAGACTATCTTCTGAAATATCATATTTCGGATGTTCGAAGTGTACCAACTTTGCTGCCCACAGTAACCCATATAATGGCTTCTGTAAGTGAGCTACACCAGAAGATATATCAGTGGCAGCCATGCAAGAAGTTTCCTTCTTTGGTTTGGAAGAATCATTGAACGTGAGCCTTCGCTGAACCACTCAAGGAAGGGTTTGTTTTTTCTGCTGATGCAGATTCTGCTACTTCTTTTTGGTGCAAGACATATCCATCAGGCATCCCACTTTTGATGAGGTGGCTGAGTTGCTTCGTGCTGCACCACTTCCTAGGCTTGTTAACAGAATGGGAGTTGAAGAACCAAGAAGCTCCTGATCTTATGCGACAGGAAGGTCAGTTGGGGTCAGATTCTTTGGTTGCTTTAAGGTCCTTGAAGAATCAATCTTACTACTGGCTCTCGGTATCCGAAACGTTCCATGGTGACAACTGATGAGCTCAAGGTTATACATTCTCGGGGTACAACTCAGGATGAAGACATGATCGAGAAAGCAGATATTCGATAGCTGAATTTGCTGATAAACGTGCAAATATCAGCAAACAGTAGTACGACAATGAAGAAAGTCTGACGAGTATACGTAAGTATGGCATCTTTTCTCATGACATCCTTGGAATCAAGTCAAAACTAAAACATTGCTCATCCAAGATAAAACACGGTCCTCAAACCTCAGGCTTGGGGTTGAGTCTAACAATTCGTTGGTGGGTCAGCCTAGGTCGAAAAACCGCTGTATAATAGCTCTAATAGTGTATGGATATCATGAACCGTATTTAGATTCTTAATGGTTGATATTGTACAAACAATTGGGTGAATTTTTTACTTGAAAATAATCTGGAACTACGTACTTCTCCTCTTTTGACCTCCTCCAAAAAAAGAATCGTCAAGTCGCAGATTCCTACCCGCCAAAGCTCCATAAGGTCGCGGCAATAGCTGTTGATAACTGTCATCCACCCTGTAGGGACGGGAACTTCTATAATCTGTTATGACGTTCTGAAAATGTCGAAACGGCGAATACAAAGACTGTTGCTTCTGGAAATAGGTTTGTGGAAACGTCTGGAAAGGGGTGAAGGCAACTTGATTGGGAAAGTACTGATTGTAAGGGAATTGTGGAACGGATGGCTGAGAATGAAAGTCATTCTGGGAAGAGAAATCTAGCTGTCCAGAGGGGATGATAGTTTGCTGTTGAGTTGGGGAGAAAACTTCTTCTGGGTCCAAAGGTTCATCTGGAGGAGGCCTCTTCTCCACAGCGTCTCGAAGAGGCAGTCTTCTGGAGTTCATGGACCTGGAAAGATACATGCTTTGGTTCTCTCAGATATACGAAGTTTCTTCAGAACTCAGGGATGATTTTCAAGAAGACAAGGAATGATAATTTTGCAGATGAACCAAGATAACTTTTATCGAAATTGCTGGATTTACAAAATAGTGCAGAGTTGCTTTTTATACTTACAAATCTGGAACACTCTCAACGGCTGTTCTCAACGGTAGGCTTTTGGTTCCAAATTCTTCATATTTGAGATAAGGGGAACTTCTGTCCCTGTCTGCTTCGGGCACGTGTTCCACGGAGTCTCTTCTAAACGTTGGTACGTTCAAAGGGGGAGCGTGTCGATCCCTTTTTACTCTAGTTGATTTTTCTTCCGTTAGGGATGTACAGAGAAGAAGAACTGTACATATCTGGAACGGTAGAGGAGACATTAGTTTTTGGAATGGATTAGTTCCAAGTTTGACAGATGACATAACGGATTTTTGCAATATAATAAGTAGAAATTGGAACTTCAATAGGAGGTCAAAACTTCTCCAAATAAAAAAATTAAGAGACGTCAGATCAGGTGGTTTAGTCGGCTAGACCCCTTCTTTCCATTAATTTTCCAAGCTCCAGTATGATGTGTTTCGACTAATTGGTTTCCTCTCATCGATAGCCAATTTCACCTTAAGAACTGATATGCTAATTTCGTAATATCGGAATACTTATGTTCGGTAGTTTCTTCAAACAAAAAACTCTCCTCTACCGATATTAATTATTGTAATACCCAAATTATAACACCCGTTGTGATGGCTTCCAATTAGCAGACCCGTTCGGAGAAATCCATCTTCCAAGGCCTTTGGGCAAGGTTGTCGAGATTGATTAAGTATCTGTTATATTTTAAATAGATCAGATCGAGATAAGGATCGATTAGATGTCGTATTCTAAAAGAAATCAATCAGCGTATAATTTTAGATTGAGAAGATAAGGCTCCTCAGTTTTACTAAACATAGGATAGATAGACAGATAGTCTTGCTGAAATTTTGGGCACGGTATTAATTTAATCACAGTTTTTTGGTTATAGTTGACTAGAATATGGATGTTTTTATGGGTTCCGCTATTTATGTAGAGATTCGTCAAATAATTGGCAATTTAGAAAAGGAAAAGCAACAATTTCCACGAAATGCTGCAAAACGTCATTTTAAATGACGTTATAATTGACTGTTAATGAAATTATCAGTTGATCAAATAGTTCAAACATGTTTTTTTTTAGTTAACTTTAGACATATTTTCAGTTGGGTGTGAAATAAATTGAAGAATTATTGAATTGAATATAGTGAATAGATTAATAGTACTTTGCACCTCAGTTTATGATGGACGTATATGATTTTGGAATATACAAATCACCCCCGATCATATCCTCCAGCCTGATAATACGAAAAATACAATCAATTACATTTCTGATTGACTCAGCCGTTACTCAATGAAGATCCACAAATTAATCAATGTTTCTCTTTCAATAGATAATTTCAATAAAGAACTTAACATCATCAAGCAAATTGCGGTTAACAATGGGTTTAAAGCCGAATTAATAAACAAAATACTTGCCAAGAAAGTCTACGCAAAAGCGATTCGTTTTTCCAATTGATAAGGTAGATAATCAAAACAATAGAGAAAAGTTAGCTAAAAATAATAAAGACAAAACATCCAAATTCGAGAAATCAGGAGTATATGAATTGAAGTGTGGAACGTGCCCTAAGGTATATATTGGTCAAACGGGCAGAACATTTAGGAATTGAATCCAGGAACATCATACGAGCCATATAAATAAGAAAACAAATTCATCATATTCAAACCATCTTCTAGAAGAAAATCTTTTTTGCACATAGAAAATAAAGGTTTGAATAATTAATAGAATTATTGTTTTATTATCGTGAGGTTTTAACTCTGTTTTGGTGGCCTAGCTTTCAATTTTTTCATTATTCTATTGATTTGAAGGAAGTAATCAAAACAAATAACGAATTGAACATTTTGTGGATGATTCAAGCAGTTATTGATGAAGGAAATAGAAAAACAAGTGTCGGAGTAGTTTGAAAAGCTTCTCGAACGTGGAGAGATATATTTTTAATAGATCATTTCAACATTTCTCAAATTCAATTTATATTGAATTTTTACATGTGGCAATGAACAAAAAATACATAATTTGGTCCATTTTATGGGTAGTTTGATCAGAAATATCTATTCAATAATGACTCTTTCAAATTCGAACTCCGATATACTTAATTTTTGAAAAATCTTAAAAAAGCACTAACCTTTATGTACATTTCCATAGCGAATCACTCAGTTCACACTAAAATCTCGAACTCATCCTTTTCTATCTCCCTGAAGAAGTACACTTGGATTCTCTGAAAACAAACATTAACCATCAACTTAACCGTGAAATCGAGCAAGACAAATGAACAAAATACCGATCGACGATCGGCAATTATCCTTAAAAAATACGTGAGTGCCACTGACCAATATCCGAGGAAGACAATGGCAGCGAATTTAAATTCTTCGCAGGTCTTCATTACCATTCCCAGACGTTTGATTACAGTCTTCAGCCACCGAGTTGGAAAAATAACGCTTTACGACCAGGCATTTTGACTGAACGAGTTTGATTACATTTCAGTGTGTTTTTCAAAGGATTCGCTGTCTTATCTTCGTTTGTTTTGCACAAATGTGAAATAAAGGTGTGCTGAGGAATTTTTTAGGTCCTTTTTTCAAGTGACCAGGATATTATATATTCTAACCATGGTGTGAATAGTTCCATCAGTATGAAAATTGCGTGCTGGGGATTCAATGAAGCCGAGGAAGGCCGTTTCTGCCTGGCCCTAATTGGCGAAGGTTCTACAGGTCAGAAAGGTATTGGAGTGCTTGAAAAGCACTACCCGGTTGTGGAGAGGTCTCCATTTCGTCCATTTCCTCACAAAAGGACTCTGCTTTGATGGTTTGTCCCGAATGCAGGAAATTGAAGTGAATCACACCAGCTGCTGACCACCAAACAGTAACCATGATCTGTTTTTGGTGAGTTTTCGCCTTGAGGAAGTAGCTGGGTGGCTCATTGGTGTTCAATCAGTCCTGAACGTCTCCCATTGTCATAGAGGATCCTTTTTTTATGTCACATGATGATCCAATCAAAAAAAGGATCATTTTAGTTGCGCAAAAGCAAAGATGAACAGTCCTAGAAATCAAATGTTTAAGCTTCTTGACGTTTTCAACCATCAAAAACGGTTTGGAGCTAACTCCAGTTCTTCCGCGATCCCAAGCACTGTTTGTGATGGGTGGATCTCAAATCATCGTCCTGGATTACTGTAGGTCAACCACTTCGGGGTTCATCTTCGAGGATAAAATTTCCGGAACGAAATTTTGCAAACCAACGTTGAACACTATCATTGCTAAATGCCTAGTTGATTTTTCGGGCTGGTTTTGGTTCAATTTCAATTTGTAGAGAAAAATTTGGGGATGATTTAATTGGGCCTCATTTTCTACCTCCTCGATCAAATAATGAAGCATATGTTCAATTTTTAAGAGAAGTGCATCCAGTACTGCTGGAGGAAGTTCCTTTGGGCATCAGAAGGGATATGTTTTTTATGCATGATGGGGCTCCCGCCTATTTTAGTCAAGTAGCACGTCAGCATTTAACTGAAACATATGCGAATCAGTGGATAGGTCGAGGAGGACCACAGAACTGGCCCGCTCGATCCCCGGATCTCAATCCTCTCGATTTCTCCATTTGGGGCCATTCACAGTATTTGGTTTACCGTACTCCTGTTCGAGATGTAGAAGACTTAAGAAACTGCATCATCGATGCGTGCAGGGTAATCAGAGAGACTCCAGGAATATTTGAGCGAATACGTGGCTCAATGCGCCGACGTCTAGACGCATGCGTAATGTCTGAAGGTAGACATATTGAACATTTACTATGATTTCTACATGTTGTGTGTTTTGTTATTAATAAATTAGTTTTGTTTATTGCCCTTTAATCGTTCAATGCAGGTACTAACTACAAAATAACAATAAATCCAGTTCGTATTTATGACGATGTATCTCTGTAGTTGTTCGTAAAATAATTTTTTGCTGCAAACTGGTTTATTTTGGGCAAAAAACCCAAGAGACATTTTTTGTTTAGAATGAAACAGACTATCGAAAATAAATTTTTAAATGGTAAACAAATAATAAGACAAAAAGTTACATTGGAAATAAATTTTAGGAGTTGCGTTTTCCACCCCTTACAACTATCGGGTAAACCAAATAAATTACTGGCTAAGTGTCTTTTTGATAGTACAAAACGTCAGGTTAATTTCTTAAGTTCTTTGTGTATTGGTGGTATAGAGCTGAGATATATTTATCTTAGTTTTTGTCGTTTTTAAAAGACGAGATTTCGTTCATTCTTAACAAAAACTCAACTTAACCTTAACCTAAACTTAAATTAACCTTAACGTAGGTTAAGTATGAACGAAATCTCGAATTTTGAAAACGATAAAAACCAAGATGCATATATCTCAGTTCCATACCACCGATAGACTTTGGAAATATTTTCAAGGAACTGGGTATGAAAGTGGTTTTTAAGACAAGTCGTACACAAAGTCGAGAATTCGGAAAAGTCTGGAATTTACGAAATTAAATGTAAGGACTGCGATGCAAAGTATCATGGACAGACAAAAAGATCTATTGAAATGAGGTACAAGGAACACTTAGCACACTTAAAATATGGAAGACCTGAAAAATCAGCAGTCGCCCGTCATATTTTGCAACAAAACCATTCCATAGACTTCAGTTCATTAAGATTAGTTAGACAAGTCAACAACAACAGGCAACTAGATGCCTATGAAAGTGTAGAAATAAGTAAACATAATAATTTTATGAATAACGATGGTGGACCAATACCTAATCGTATACTATATAGCTTGTTAAAATAATATTTAATTATTACATAAAGACACATTGTAAAATTGAGTTAAGACTAGTAGAAAAGGCAATATTGTGAAATTAACTCAAGACACAAGTACCTAGAAGAGGTATCTATGGTATACGTAAGGATAACTTTGTGAGTATGATTAGTTTGATCTTCCTCTTGAAGATGATCACTTAGTGATCGAAACCCTTGTCGAGGTGTTAAAGTAATATTTTGGTGTTGGGATAGACTTTGTGAAACTTCTTTAAAGGTCAACCAGAACATCTGAGAATGATCATGTCGTCAGAAGAAAGATAGTCTGATCTGTGGTCCGGACTTAACTAGACATGTTCGCAGCGTGAATATGAAAGATGGATGTGTTCCCTCTTTATTACATGAATAATTGATTACTGTTTACATAAATAACGTTAAAGATGCCATAATTCATAACCATTTTATGCGGGCCTGCTCGAGGCTCCCACTACCAGTAATTTGAATAATTCTTGCTGGATGTGTGAGTTATGCCTTGACTTCCAAACGAAATTCATGAAAGAAACGACGTTGGTGGTTTGCTGTAGAAAAATCTGCATAACAGCCCGATATCGATCATTGGGATCGAAACTAGAATTGAGTTTTTTGCGTCTCAGAAATAATCAATTACAAGATTCGATACTGCTTCGTTAATTGGCGTTGGTTGAGAAGGACTTGTTGTTGTAAAACTGGTCCAGATCGACTTCTTGCTGGAAATCGAAAATAAAAGAGTCCTACTTGTTGATACACACCAAGGCATTCGATAACGACCATAATCGTTGGGAAGGAATAAATTTAAAACGGTATAAAAATACATTTAGTTCACAACAGCTACCGAGAATTCTTTATCGGGTTGATATCCTAAGTCCAAATCCAGTTGGAAACGAGTTCCTGAACTGGTTCTTTAAGAACACAACATTTCAATTATTTGATAGAGACGTTTCTTTCAAGCTATTAATTAGAATTTTATGAGTCTTTGTACGGTGGAAGATAACCCCAAATGGATATCGAAACAAAAATAGTTTCGCTGCAGGTAGACAACTGTTTACTACCTGCCAAGAAAACATGTTATTCCTACACTCCAAAAGAAACACTCCAAAAGAGAAATGCATTTTCTGGAAGTGAACTTTTCTGATAACGATTCCTGAAGGGTCTAACTTTTTTCCAAGTAGACTCACATATTTCAAGATCCAAGTGAGTAATATAAAAATAAACGTATGGGTTCACCAAATTGCTTCTACGCTAAACATAACTATAGGGCCTTCCAACAGAAACTGTCCAACTTTGACAATTTATAATGGCCATCTTTTTGAAGGTACATCTCTCAAATAATGAAAGACTCTATATACCACCAGATATAGTGAACCCAGTGGGTTCACTTGTGGAAATATAAAAGTTTCATTTATTCCAAAATGAAAGCAGTGGGACTCAAATAACATTCTGACATTAAAAACGGCTTGAAATGGATATTTCATTAACAAGCTGTCGTCCCCTCACCAACAAAAACTCTAAAAAGTTTAAACTTCTCTGAGTCAAGGATCAACGAGGTCTAACTTTTCAACGTACGGTTTCCAGTGAATCACTTGGTATGAACCTTATAAAAATCCGGATGCATGTCAAAACATGTAATTTAAAGTTGCTATTTCATGAAAAAGTTTTCAAGCAAGAAAAGTTCTGAAAATGATCTCAATGAAGATTGTTTTAATGGAACTGTTTGATGAGATTTGGGATTTCCTCTGAAGAAAAAGCTGAGAGTTAATAACTGAGCTAACTTTGAACAAACTTTTTAGAAAACTCACTCATCAACTTACTCTCATTGAATTTTTATTGGGGTTCAATATAATCAAAAGCTCCATTATGTTCATAACGGTTTCAGAAAGATCCATATTTATGGATTTACAAACAAACACATCCAAAGCAGCTTTGAATAAACTCATCTTGCAAATATTTTGGACTTCATCCTGTTCTATAAATAATAATTCTCCGATAAATACACAACATAAAGACAGCACCAACGGTACTTTTATTATCATCTGATTCTTATGATAATCAGATTCAAGAATTATTTTTGGACTCATAATAACATAAAGGTCATCACAGTCACCAGAAACAATAAGAAATTAAAAGTTATATACCTGTCATGTAGAACATTGGATTCTTTCAAAAAGGCGAAATATTTAATGATAGTATTTTTGATCGAAGATCAAGGATGAATATTTCAAATTGAAAGTAGAATGTAAATAACATATTCAAATATCGAGGTGTGTTAGGGCATTGACTCCGATCTGAGAGGTATTCTTTTGATTTTTTGTTCCAGCCAATAAAGCGGTGTCATTGAGAAAGAATTCCGGTGGAGGGAATAGATAAAATCAGATTATGATCAAAACTGTCAAGAAGCGGTGATAATTTAACAACATTTATCGTACAGTTATGGAATAAATCTCACCACCCATTAAAATTTGATGTTTTGATAGTAACTGTATTCGAAAAATGTAATTTGTTGGACAACTCTGTTTTTCTTAGATCAAGTAGGTTCCTCACTTCACGTAAAGGAATATATTGAAGACTATTATAAAAAAAGTAACAAGGAGCATCAATAAATATCTTAAATTTTCTGTGGCTTCTGGGTGGGTGTTAAAAAAATATAGCAACACCAATATCCATTCTGGTAAAAGAAAACTATTAAAAAGTCTTCACCAAAGCAAAGAAGTTCACGTAAAAAGAAGAAGGCTGCATGTCTTAACGATAAAAAACCTCTTTGAAAAGAAGACAACTTTCAAAATTTGAATATAAATGAAATGAATCCAACTTTTTTTTGTGACTACAAAAATTCGATGAACTGGAAAATTCTTGGGTAGATGAGAATAGAGCAGACATACAAATACATCTAGGGATGTGGAGTGAAGCAATGGATGAAAAGCGATTTGAAAAGTTTACAAAAAAACGTCTAGGATGATTTTGGAAGCCATCTTTAATTTCTCAAGAAAGTGAACTCGGAGATAGAGTTTGAGAAGAGTCTGAAACAGCATGGATAGGAATTCAAGAAAAAAGAACAGAAATTATGTAGGAAGCAGACAATAGGTCATCAACGAACAAGCTGATAATGAGAAAAACAAAGTTAAAAATTTGTAATGTGGATACTTTAGACAATTACTTTCCACAAATAATAGAGTTATCACATCTTCAGCTCCATGTTGCATAAAAACTATTGGAGTATACAGACGACCTAGTCCAGAGCAAATATAATAGTTTATAGACGCATACAAGATGAACCAAAGACAGAGGATTTATCATAGGCCCATCCAAAAACGACATTTACCAAAAGGACCAAGATAGAAATTACATAGGCATTCAAGGCATGAAAAAACAAAAAAGTATATGATACTTTATTCGCCAAATATTGCCCATATTTTCTCATGCAATCTTACCAACTCTTCAGCGAATGATTCTCTGGCTACAACTACCTACTTAAATAGAAAATTTACAGATGAGAACTTACAAGAACTTAGAACACGACTAAGTAATATTGATTGGACTTGTGTAAGTGGACTTACTACAAATAATGCATTTGAGGCCTTTATGAAGGAATTGACTTGGTCTCTTGAAGTGTCTTGTCCTAAAAATAGGATAAATGTAAAAGAAAAACAGAAAGTAAAAAAAAGTTGGGTAACGAAAGAAGTTGAGAATGAAAGCAGTCAGTTGAGAGAATTGCACAGAATGATAGATGGAGAAGTGAGTGACGAGATTAACAGAAGGGAAAAAAGAGAATATACAAATAGATTAAAGAAGTTAAAAACAGGATATTACGCAAATCAAATAGAAACGGCTGAAAACAAACAGAAAGCTACATGGGATATTGTAAATAGTTTCAGAGGGAAAACCTTTATTACACTCTGCTAGAGTGTAATTAAGATTTAGATACATTTATTTCTCAATTGTGGAAAATTAAAAACCCCCAAAACACCCATTCAGGATCTATACACCTACCTTCTAGTCACTAACTTCAAAATCCCGCACGTGTCCACTGGAAGTCGAAAAAACCAACACCTGAAAAACCTGACCAAACAAACCACTTCTTCGGCTGGCCATCAAACGTACAAATGCGTGACGCCTCACGATGATCGATTCTTATAGGTGGCAGAAAACCAGCGAAAAGCCACCAGGAGTCGAAGAAACAAAGCAAAATCGAATTTGTTTCGCGTGCGAGCACCCAGAAGCGGACCCAAAAAGGCGCAAAAAAAAGCTTCGGATGCAATTTGTCGAAATGCATTCGATAATGAAATGGCAACGAATCGCCTTGAACTTGGACTGGTTGCTTGCGACCGCTGGAGGTGCCGAAGAAATTAATAGTCTGGTTTGCAACTGCAATTTCATCGGAAACCTGAACTTAAGTCAACTTTTGTCCACAAATCTAATCATAGACCAATATTTCTGATCAACCATTCATCGAGAATCCTGGAAGAAAAGAGAATTGAAACTTTCTAAGTATGTTTTTTATTTGTAACCAACGTTACTGCAGTTTTGTCCTATAAGGACATTTTCAAACGTATACAATAAACTAACAATGGTTCATTCCATTAGCTCTTATATACCACCCCTGTAGGTACTAATAGAGGTACTTGGCTTGATTGAGTACGTAAATTTACAGTTTACAATGCGGATGTGCCAATTTGAAAACCGGTGAGTAAACTAAATCGATTTGATCGTTTAAAAGGTTGCACCCGCAATGTTTATGCTTGTGAATTTCCAAGGATTCTATATAATTCAGTTTGTAGCCCTTCCTTGCATAGTGCAAAATTTCCGTATCGTTAGATTCGGAAACTTGTGGTTGCATGCCAAGAAATGGCTTGGAAATGTCTTAGTCTGAAGGACCTTTCATGTTCAGTATACCGTTTTTGGAAATTTCGGCCACATTGTCCCACATAAACACTATGACACTCCGGACACTTAAGCTTATAAACTCCAGATTTCTCCAATTTGTCCACCTTATCTTTGGCATTGAAAAGGAAATGAGATAACCTGGCATGTGGCCAAGCCGCAATTATCTCTTTTCTTTTTCCAAAATATGTTGATTTCTGGTTGTTTGACCTGAGGGTAAATTAATCTGTAAGTGAATTTACGGCTTTGTTTTCTGACTAACTTCTGGATAGTATCTGCGTTGAAACCATTATTATGACCTATCTTTGTAATTATATAGCTGAGATATGGTACAATTATAATAAGCTTAAACTGAATGGACTGAAAACTCAAACCATCATCGTCTCCAGTCAAAATAATATACGAACTGGAAGTTCTGTAAATCTTTTGGGAATACAACTAGACGACTCGTTAAATTGGTCCAATCATAACGAGAATATATGTAAAAAGATATCGTCCCATATATTCCTTCTAAGGCAGATGAAACGGATTTGTAACGAAGATGTTCTACTTAACATTTACTGTTCTCTGATTCATAGTAGAATTTCTTACGGCATTATTTTATGGGGTAATTCCAGTTCAGCAATACATGTTTTTCGTTTACAAAGAAAATCATTGAGAATCATTGCAAATGCTCCAGCATTTGACCACTGCCGACCGTTATACATGGAATATAATATCATGCCTTTGCCATCTTTATATATATTTCATTATATATTGTAGATACATAAAAATAACCAAAATTATTAAACACTTTCTCATAACCATGAATATAACACCAGATCTGGCGACTTATTGAAAATACCCAAATTTCGTTTGAGAACATCCCAAATGAATTCTTTAAACTTGAATGTATATAATAAAATTCCGTCAAGATTAAGAAGTCTTAATTTTAATCAGTTCAAAATCAGAATGAAACAATACTTGAAATCTAAATGTTTTTACATTGTGCAAGAATATTTACAAAATGATTTTTGACATTTTTATAGTTGTGTATAATAATTATATATAAGAAGGGGAATTTGTTGTTAATCTTGGTATAGAATTCTTGTTGCAGATTTACGATATTGTTAGCCTTCTTTAAAATTATATGTTTATGCTATATTTATTATTGATTTATAGTTTATATTTTTGTTTTCTTAATATCTAAAAATTTGTGAGAATTAGGCTGTTATAGATACAGTGTCACCATTAAAGTGCGCACCATATGGGAAACTTTTTTTTCGAAAGGTTTCAATGAAGTTTAACTTCAACACTCGTTTGTGCTTTAAATTTAACTTAAAACGATGCGGCCAACTGTGACCCACTGACGTTCAGTGTTTGTCAAATTCAACTTTTTTTTTGAAAAAATTGAAAAAGTGCATTTCTAGATCGAATTTAACAAAAAGTTACTTGAAAAACTTGTGTCTACGGCAATTTTATATCCATATGCCAAATTTTATGCAACTAGGATAAAGTTACATTTTGCTTATTTTTGATAAATATCCCATTTATTTTAAAAAACAAGTTCGGTTAATTGTCATCAATTCATGTATACATAACAAACTCATCATGGAGTTCAACATTTCTGATACATTTTTACTTATACGGACATTTTTAGAGAAAAACTAAAAATTTGCTATAAAAATTTCAACATGACTGGTGCAAAGTTTCAATCACTTGTGGATTCAACACACGTACACGAGTCTAACCACGAATTCAAAACTCTTCATTTCCAAAAAAAGTTTGGGACTCAATTTTTTGAAAAGTTTTGAGTTTTATGAATTCTAAAATTTCAAATATTATTCTCAAGTAGTTTCTTTTGTCTAACTAACTTTGAACAATTGATTTATGCAAATATATCGAATAATTTCTTCAGAACGTTTGTTTGAAGGTGATTGACAATGTTTCGTGATGAATTTCACTAGTTCGGACTTCCATTGTCTATTATATAAAATGATTTGAAATCCCTGAAACAAGTAAAAAAGAATAATTAAAAAGAATAGTTGAAAATAACAATTATATTAAGCAACAATAAACCTGAAATGAAATGATAGTGAAATAACCTACAAGTAAAAATATAATAATTGAATAAATAAAAATTAAAGGAATGCAAAAAGAAAATAATAAAAAATAAAAAAGTGTAGAGCTTCCAAGTCACGTTAGTTCACGACGTTTCGATTGTTGGTATCTACAATCGTCTTCGGGTGATTACTTGTAGGTTATTTCACTATCATTTCATTTCAGGTTTATTGTTGCTTAATATAATTGTTATTTTCAACTATTCTTTTTAATTATTCTTTTTTACTTGTTTTACTTGTTGTTTCAGGGATTTCAAATCATTTTATATAATAGACAATGGAAGTCCGAACTAGTGAAATTCTTCAGAACGTATTTGGTATTTTTCAATTTGTTTTTCAAAATTCTTCAAATTATTTTTGAGGTAATTTTCCCACCCGATTCTTTATATAACACAATATCGATGAATTTTGAAGATAACACCTTAATCGTAGCTTTCGGCCATGGAGGTGAGGTTTTCCATAAAATTGCACTTGTCAACTAGACTAATAGAGATGTGCTCGTTATAAATCAATGGGATTAGCATACAGAGTGTTGTGAAGTAGGAGATTACCGAATCTGATTGATTGGTTTCATTAAAGATGTAAAATAACTACCAATGACTTGGAAAAGTTGAAAGCCACGAAATAGGATGATAAAATTTAATTGTCATGTCACAACGACAATATCTCTGGAGCTGCCATTCTTTCGTCATTGAAAAATCGTTGAAGTTATTGTTATTTTTAGCGTTATTTTGAGGATTAGCTTCAAAGTGGTGGCCTTGATTGTATCTCATAGTTCATCTACCAGGATATCTTATTCAAGTACTGACATTTCGCTGGTTGATGGCTTAGAACTGATTAGACTCCACAACAACCTTAATGGATATCAATAAAAATCGCTTGGTGGTGTATAAAAGTAATTTTTACTATCACAAAAATCAAAGATAAATAATAATTGCTCATTCAAGTGATTAATAATCAGTAATTTTTTTCAATTTGTAATTATGCAGTCACAATAGATACAATACAATATATTCTATAATAATGATAAAACTATTCTGCTTAAACTCAGGAGAAGGTCCAAAAGTAGCCAAAATTTTGGTTATACAGTCCAAAACTAACGACCTCTGTCATATTCCTGAGAAATAGTTGACTAAACGTCAAAGTCACTGGCAAATATTGAGCGGTTATCCACTGCCATCACTTGATGTCATGTTCCCGTGTTTCAAAAGTAACCCCTAATTTATAGTATCTCAAGCAACCGCTGTCAAAAAATACTTGATACTGCTATCAACTGTGACCCCCAAAAATTTGAAATCGTTTATTTCTGGAATAGATTTATGGTCCAATTGGACATAGATCGATTCCTGTCTATTTTGGAAAGTTCTGAAGTGGATTAGTCCTGTTTTGTTTGTATTCAATTTTAATCCGTTCTCCGAACACCACCTGAAAATTTTTGCTGCTAGCTCAGATAACCCTCTGGAGAGAGCTCTTGAATCAGACCCAGACACTGTTACCGACGTATCATCTGCGAATTGACAGGCTAGACCTGTACCAAGTGATTGTGGAAGGTCATTCACGTATATCGGGAAAAATATTGGTCCTATAATAGACCCCTGTGGAACTGTGGAATCTGAATAAGTTTGTTGGTCATTCTGAATGTCTGCGACTTGGTATCTTCCAGAAAAATATGATTTTATAAGATTGTGTGCATTGCCTCTAACTCCATAATCTTTCAGTTTATCTAGTAAAATAGTATGACCGACCATGTCAAAGGCCTTTGATAGATCAAAGTACAAGCTTCCTACCCTATTATTTTCTTCAATATTATTCATAATTTCTGTTATCGCATTATGAATTGCAAGTTCAGTTGACATCCCTTGTCTAAATATGTATTGTTGTAGAGCAAGTATCTTATTTAGATTCAAGAAGGTTTGCAATTGCTTGGAGATTACTCTCTCAAAGACCTTTGAAGGCGAAGGTAGAATGGGTATCGGTCTGTAGTTATTTAAATCCGCTTTCGATCCTTTTTTGTTGATCGGTATTACTCTTGCTATTTTCAACTTATCTGGGAAGATACCAGATACCAAACTTTCATTTATTGCGTCTACCAGAGGATCACAAATGTATCTCCCAGCTTTCTAAGG